CCAAACCGTTGCTAGGATAGTAAATGAGGTACGCTTTTGCTAAAATAAAAAAAGAGCATGTGAGATTGACGGCTGGTGGCGAGGCTTCAGGCACAAGGAAGGCTGCCTCACTTTATCATTATCTGTAGCCCTATAAGTAGTATGATAGAAATATAAGTAAATTTCCACCGAATATTGTCATTAATATAGTCTACATATCATGATATAGTTAAAATTTCATTCTATGACAACTTCTCGACACTAAACGATTTGATACTTCCTGTTTAGGTGAAGTTTTGTCTTTTCCCTCAATCACGTTTGGCTCAGGTCGGATCATTGTAAGATGATCAGCATGTGCTGATACATGACTTGAGGTGTGAAGACCTCGGCTTCACAGCCCAAGTGCCGGAAGCTTTGTTGGCTGGCCGTTTTGCTCAATGCATTTACACACATACGCACACAAGTGCACCTGTTGGTGGGGTTTCCAGCATGAGAGAGATTACGGGTCCAACCCCGCCGCCGCGTTTCAGAATGCTCGGCGCCGTCACCGCTTGCACCGTGGCCACGTAGCTACCGCAACCGTCCACATGGGCCCATGCCATGCTGAGTGTGTTATTGGTGAGGTTCCTGGACAGCGAAATCGGTTCCTCCGCACCCACCGTTGTCAAGATCGAGACGTAGTTAATGAGATCGCCGTTAGAGGTGATCGGTGGCAGCCAAGTGAGGGTCAGATTGTAGGAGTTATTCTCAACCACCTGCAAGTCGACAGGGCGCGATGGAGCTGCGTTGAGAGGAGAAGGAGTCGAACAGGAAACAGGAAAAGGAAATACAGAGAAGGTATAGTTTAGGCTTTAGTCTAATTTGTACATATTTTTGAGCCCATAAGAGTGTCTAAAATCCTTGAGGGCATGGATATATATGAACCTGGACAGATTGTCTCCTTGCCATGCTTGGACGCATGGGCGATTTCAACCTTTTCCCATCATCTGGAGATATCGGTTCAACTATAAACTTGACAGAACTTGTATTGGAAGCATTGGTTACCACTACGATTCATTATTTATATATTTACTATACTACTACTATTTAGTTACTACTAATAAACTGACTATCCAAATACATTAGGCCTTCGAGACCCTCGGCAACATCTAGAATAAAATCGGACGGAAATACGATTCCGTGGCCGTCTGAGAATCTTGGGCTGACTTGTTATCAGTTGAACTATAAACCGGAAAAAAACCGCTATTCCTACTCAATTTTACTACTCAATATTTGCCACTACTACTGACTATCTAATTATTACTATTCATTATTTACATATTTGATACGTTTTTGTTCACTACTACTGCTGAGCTACTGTTAAAAAACTGACTATCTAGATAAATTAGGCTTTCAAAACCATCAACAAACACTTGAATAAAGGTTCTTGTCGGTCTGGATTGCATAAGATGATCGAGAACTGGTGGCCATTCTCAGCCAGACTGAGCGGCATTTTTGAACTCGCCCCATCACTTTGGACAAACTCACAATTAATTCAACAATAAGCTAGACAAAATAAGTATTAGTAGCTAAGTTTACTACTGACTAGTTATTACTACTGCTTATTTATTTACTACTTTTTATTATTTGTTTAATTATTTATTACTCTTCTATAATTAATTGTATTTATTTAATATTATTCAGTAAACTATTCGGCTAAAGTAGGTTTTCGAAACTGTTACAAAAACGTGTATAAGAATTTTAGTCAGCCTAGTTTACAAAATTTAATGATGCAATAATGACCATTTTCAGCCTAACAGATCTGCGATTCTGTGCCTACCTCATAATCTTGGGCATATTCGCTATCACTTCAACAATGAGCTAAACAAAATCAGTATTCGAAGTGAAATTTGCTACTTATTACTTGCAACCACGATCATTAATACAACTACTGCTGCCACAACTGCTATCACTGCAGTCAACACCACTAACTATTGAGTTACTACTATGTATTTATTACCCATTTACTAAATTGTATTTAATATTAATATTTATTTGCAAATAGTTGTCTGCTGCCAGTTAACTAAAAATAC